TTTTATCACGTTGGGGGCTAGCCTGTGCACTGTATGATGTTTAAGCCGCGTCCCTGGCCTCTGCCTGCTAGAAGCCAGTACATCTCTCCTCAGTTGCTACAAACAAAACCATCTCCGGACATCACCCAGTGTTCCCCGAGAGGGCAAACTCACTCCCATTTCAAAACCACTTACTTAGGGCAATTAAAATAATGTATCTAATATCTTCTGCCCTAAATAAATAGCAATAAAATTACCTACACAGCATTGCGCAGTATATGTAGAAGTTGGAAAGGTTTACATGAAGTCAGTGTCGTTGGCTTCTCTGCAAAGTTTGGAGTGCCAGGCGGTCCTGGACAAGAACCAGAAGGCAGTGAGGAGCAGTTGTCTCCTGGTCACTGGCTGACCTCTCCAGCTTTCTGTTCTTCCTGCCACTCCCATCATTCATAACTTACCCTCCTTCGCTCTTAACTCAGGATCTGCTTGGTCCCTGGAGAAATACTTCCACGCTCAAATACGAATGTGCCAACTCCAGGAACTGCCTATAAAAACATTGAAACTTATCAATAAATTTATTTAACAGATGTTTATTGAGGTGCTACTACATGTTAAGAATATCGTAGTAAATGTAACAAAGTTTCAGTGCTCGTGTGTCTTACATTTTAATAGAATATTATATGTACATGTTTTATATTACTGTGTATTTTTAAGTATAAATATAATACAGAATTATAAGCTAAGGAAGTGATATTGCAAATGTATCTTTCTAGATTAAGTGAAAAATAATTGGTGTCTACATTCCAAATGATGATCTACGTGATTAGCTCTGTCAGCTGGTTTTTTAAAATTTTCCCTGAAATTTTAAGTTGTGCTTCGTTTGGCTTGAGACAATAACGTGGGAAGAAATAATTTCAAATTGTTGATCATCCTAAAGTGTGAAAGCTTAAAACGCTTGCTAAAATAGTAAATTCAGCTACTGGGGTTTTTTTGTTTTTTGTTTTTGTTTTTTTTTTGAATTTGACTAGGGCACTTATTGTTGTGATATGTAGTATGTTCCAAAGCAATTGTCTGCTTGTAGTATTATTTTTCTCGTGGAAATGAGATTTGAGTCTGCCCTCTCCCCCCCCCCCCGAAAAAGGATGCTTTTTTTTTTTTTTTTAAGATGAGAGAAATGGGTTCGTTTTTTTTTTACCCCACTCTGGCTTTTATTGCCATCATCTTACCTGGCTAAGAGCACTATAAAGAAATAGAGCTTTGGCAGATGGATCCTGCAGAGATTTACTCAGATTTCCATATCCAGGCTTTTCTTGCCAGATAGTTTTCACAGAGGATTATTAAAAGAAAATGTTGGCTGTCATTAATAACATTTTGTGATGTATCTTTAGACACTGATGATTACTGGTTATTGGAAATGAAGCAAGCATGCAATTGAAATACAACTTTAAATGAATTGCGTATACTGATGCTGGACTTGGCAGATAGCAATGCCGGATTAACAAGAAGACAAGTACGTTATGTATTGCTTCCATTAGCATTTCAAAAGTATGCCTCTCTCTGTAAATGGTACTTGTTTTATATAAGGTATTTGTTCCAGAGTCTGTCAGGAGTAGGATTAGGTGGACTTGTGGAGTCCTCCAAGGATTGAAACTTTTTAATGCACTGATGTCTGTAGTTGTGACAATGCAACTGAGCACATGTGTAGCTGACCTGTGTTCACAATTTACGTTCTCAGCAATAATCCGAAGCAAGACTGACGTAATTATGTTGAGACATTGTTAGCTACATTGCATTGAGCAGTTTCCTATGGAATGGATGTTTGTTGGATGTTTTCTGAATAAAATGATAAAGACTTAATTTGTGAGTCGCTGAACTCGTGTCCGTGCAAAATCCCCAGATCTTACAGAGGGGTTCTCCCGCAATCAAAGGACGCGTCTCCAACCAAACAAAAATCTCAAGGTATTCTGAGGAATGCCGTTTATTCACTTGAGATGGTCTTGAGAAGGAATTAGGTCTAGATATACTTATTAAGTGACCATTAAACTTTTTTGGCTAGGAGCCAGTGTCTTAAAACAAATAGAGAGGTCTGAGGATAAGGAATCAGACATACCTTTAAGAAACAAAACTAACTCTTGAAAGAACTCATAAAATATGTAAGGGAGACAAGTTTTTTTTTTTTTTAAGATTTTATTTATTTATTTGAGACTGTGTACCTGTGCACAAGCAGGGAGGAGGGACAGAGGGAGAGGGAAAAGCAGACTCCCTGCTCAGGAGCCTGATGCAGAACTTGATCCCAGGACCCGAAGATCATGACCTGAGCTGAAGGTACATGCTTAACCGACTGAGCCACCCAGGCGCCTCGGGAGACAAGTTTTTAAGTGACTTCATTGCTGTTAGAAAAATGGTGTTCTTTTACAATTGTTACATTGGCAAAAAACTGTGCATCGGTTTTAACATGCTTGGGAGAGGTGGACACCAGGAAACTCGGGACAAGCTTGTGTAGGTCTTGGAAGAGTATCGTGGAAGAGCTCAGTTTGTAAAATTAAAATAACTAAAAAATGAATTGTTCACATGCAGCATTAAAGAATATACAATCTAAAATATTCTTACAAGAAATAGATGGGTTTTTAATGAAAACTAAAACAAAGGGACAATATGGACTGTTCTTTTTTTGGAGAGGGAGCGAGAGAGTTTTTTTTTTTTTTTTAAAGATTTTATTTATTCATCTGAGACACAGAGATAGAGAGAGCATGAGCAGGGGGAGAAGCAGAGAGAGGGGGAGAAGCAGATTCCCCGCTGAGCCAGGAGCCCGATATGGGGCTCGATCCCAGGACACTGGGATCATGACCTGAGCTGAGGGCAGATGCTTAACCATCTGAGCCACCCAGGCACCCCTGGGAGAAAGAGAATCTTAAGCAGGCTCCATGTTCAGTGTGGAGCCTGATGTGGGACTTGATCTCACAACCCTGCGATCATGACCTGACCCAAAATCAACAGTCACTCAACCGACAGAGCCACCCAGGCGGCCCTATGGACCCTTTTTCCCCCCATCAAATTCTACAGCAGTTCTTTCTGCTGCCCCAGCTTTATGGAGATATGGTTCACAACCTTGTATAACTTTAAGTTGTACGATGTCGTGATTTGATGCACGTGTATGTTGGGAAATGTTTACCACAATAAGGCAGGTCTTTTCCAAGTTTAGTAAGCATCAGAATTTCTTGGAGAATTTGCTAACAGAGATTCCTGGGCCCCGTTCCCAGAGATTCTGACTCTAGGTGCATTTCTGATAAACTGCAAGGTGTTCATATTATCAGTCATTGATCACACTGTGAGCAGCGTTGCTATGACAGATGGGCAGTTGACACATGGACAGTAGAGAGTCTTAGAGTTTAAACTGTGTTATTTTAAAACAGAGGGGGAGGTGACTACCAAGTGGAGTGGAAAACAGTATCGGTATATATGGGGGTGTGTGTGTGTGTGTATCCTGAATATGGATATATATGTCCATGGATATATGGATATATATATATATATATATATGGATATATATATATATATATCCCCATAATTCTAGAGTATACTTATCTGGAATTGAACTGAGAACTTTGATCCTAATTGGAAAATTTATCAATAATGAAATAAAAATCATATAGATAAAATAATATATGACCTGATGGAGCCAGGGGTAAGCCAATGTTTAGAGAACTGACATTTAACTATATGAGACTCTTCATTTTTACTAATTAAAACTTGCATTAAGACATAAAATTGAGAATCAGGTCTCTATTCATATTAATGTAACGCTTTAATTTCAACCGTGAAGACTGGCTGTGATCTCTTATTTGTTACTGTATGTTGTATATAGTATAGATAGTATCGTATATTATATAAGGTACTGTATTTTATGTAGTGTATGTAGTGCTGTTTCATACATATATGTTTGTATATATAAATAGTTCCGTGGTGTAGCGGTATATAGTATACATAATGTATTTAGTACACATATATATATAGCATTATATTTTATATATTATACTAATACTATATATAGTAATAAGCTATTATACATGTATATATACTTTATTCAACATTACTCTTTATTATTACATATGTAAATATATGTAATACATGTATATATAGTTTATGTACTATACATTATTCTTTCTATTAACATTATTATTATGATTGTCATTGGATAATGGAGCCTAGTTATTATCTTTGATTTGTTAATATATATGGTAATACATTTTAAACATATATTCAGACTTTATTCTGAAACTCTCATGTCAGTTTATTCAATATATTTAGGTTGATTCAATATGTTCTGATATTTATTTGGTAAATATTTATGTTAAAGTGTATTCAGTATATTTTAATAGAGTGATTAAAGTGGATGCATGTTAATGCTGTTAGATCCATTGGGCTAAAGACATTAGTTAACAATTATGTGTTATGTATAGATATTTAATACAGTGCAGCTTCACCCGATCACCTGCAGGACAGTATATAGACAATAGTCCTATGTTGCCAATTGTAAAGCAAGTTCATGTTAACGTTTCTGAAAAAAACAAAATTCACCTATGACAACAACCTTTAGAAAACATTTTTTTTTAAGCTTTTATTTTTAAGCCATCTCTACACCCAATGTGGGGCTCGAACTCACAGCCCCGAGATCAAGAGCTGTGTGCTCCACCAACCCAGCCAGCCAGGCGCCCCCAGAAAACATTTCTTACTGAATACAAGTATCTCCCATCTAAACGGTTCTGCCCCATGGTGACTAGCACTACATTTCCTCCATGTGTGTTGAAATAGACATCTTCTACAGTTTCTGTTCTGTCGTGATGCTCTCGCTCAGATGCCCGTTATACACCATTCAAGTGATGCACTGAGTAGCGGGCTTTCCTGAACTAAGGAACGGAAGCAGGAGTGGAAAAGTAAGGAGTGCAGGTGATTTTCCTTTGGCCCTGTTTCTCATCCATTTCTTTCTTTCCTTTTACTGTTACTCCCTGCCCCCCGCCCCCCAGTGTCTGGAGCCCTGCAAAGAGTCCTGGGACCTGAGGAAGCAGCAGTGCCAGACCTTCTGTGAGGTAAGGCCGCCCCGCCGCGCGCCCGGAGGTACCCAGGACGCGGCGTCAGCCTGACGGTGCTCCGCGCGGATCACTGGCGTGAAGGGCCCCTGCATTCTGCTGCAGGTTGGGGAGTTCAGTTTACTGCAGGGAGGGGTGTCTGTGTGTGTGTGTGTGTGTGTGTGTGTGTGTGTGTGTGTGTGTGTGTTGTGAATTCATGTAAAAGGAAAAAAAAAACATTATTGAGCTTTCTTAAAACCTGGCTACCCACCTCTTCCATTATTGGAATCCATTTTATTACACATGCTTAGAGACGAGAACCTTTTCCAAGGTAGAAGCTACTGCTGTCCTTCTGCTTTCCGGCACGGCTGTTGTACGAGTAATTGTCAGCGCGATGTTGACATTCTCATGCTGTTTGGGAGAAGCCAGCCGTTTTATTAGTAGCGGGGTTCTCGACATTTTCATCTCATCGTTCACCCTTTGGGCCCCCATATCCTGGCCAGGGCGCTTGCCCGCCTTTAACCGGGTGCGAGGCTCTTACTTGGCCGGTGGTTTCAGGTAGAGAATAAAGGGTGTTACTGTCCCGGACATCTGCTGTCTGAAACCCTCAGTCGTGCTGCAGAGGGGGAAGAGCCGGTTTGCTGGACCGTCTCCTCCAGAGCAAGTCGGGGGTCCAGGCTCTGACGCAGCCTGGGGTCCGCTTGGGTGCAGCCGGGACGACGTGGAGCCAGCCTGCCTGCTGACTGCTGGCCTCTCAAAGAAAGGAGAGTGGGACGGTCCCCGAGGGCTGGTGCCGAACAGCGGTCAAAGAGTCCACTGTAGCAATCAAAGCAGCTCCGTCGAGGGTTGTGGGGAGCGGCCCAGAAGGGAGGCCCTGTGGCACCGGACTAAAATCATGGTCCGGGGCTTCCCTGAAGGGAACTGGAGGCTGACAGGCAACCCTTCCAAGCTCCTGCCCGCAGACCTTCCCCATATGCGTGGAGATAAACAAAGGCATTTGTAGTAAATGCGTAAGAGTTACGTTGGGAAGGCACGGAGGACTGGGAAGTTGGAGCTCATCAGGTCCGATGGTTCCCCCACTCTAGGTAGAAAGACCCATCCTAAAGCAAAAGCCCTGAGCCTCACACCTCTTCCCTGCATCCGAGTGCTGCTTTGGCTCGACTTCCCGTGGACGGTGATGAGGGGTCATAGTGTTGTTGGGCTCTTGTGGAAAAGTGTTCAGTATGGCTTTAGCAGAGTGCAGTGGAGGAAATGTTTCTCAGCACAGACGTGATAATATGTGACTTTCCTAATCTCACTTTTTACTTTGGAAGTTGGACTCAGCATTTTGTGACAGGCTGCTGGAGTATGGGTGATTCTCAAACTCTTACATAATGATGTCTGTGTTGTTGGAAGCGCTTCGGACCTGAGGATTTCTGTCACTGAAGTCTTTGGAAGCATTTTGTAATTGGGAACATGAAAATGCCTCAAATAATACACAGGACTGGCAGATAGTCGAAGTTCTGTAGCCCAGTTGCTCTGCAAGGACACTCACCCCTAAGCTAACGATTGAGTGTGAACTCCCATAGAAGAAGAACCTGCCTACATCTTTGTATCCAGCCCTTTTCTGGGTGGTGGGGGTGATACAGAAGAGCATCAGTCATGGTTTTCTGTCCTCCCTCAAGGGAGCTGACATATTATCCATCCATTTTCCCCAAAACATTTTGGCTTCTTCAGGGATTCCATCCAAACTTTTCCAGAAAACATATGCTGACCTGGCATTCAGTTTAATATATCTTTGTATGAGTTATCTCTTGCTGCCTAACAAATGACCCCGAAGCTTAGTGGCTTAAAACAACACACATTTATTATCTCACAGTTTCTGTGGGTCAGGAGTTTGGACATGACTTAAACACATTCTTTGCTTCAGGGTCCCACGATGCCGTAATCAAGGTGTTGGCTGGGCTTGCGTTCTCGTCTGGGGGCTCAGCTGCTTCTGCTGACGGTCTGCCTCCAAGCTCATTGCAGTTTAGTTGTTGGCAGAACTCATTTCCTTACGGTTATAGGACTGAGGTCCAGTTCTCTCGATGGCTGTTGGAAGTTGCCTCCACTTCCTCACCACGTGGCCCCCCCAGGCCGGTCACGAGATGGCTACTTACTTTTTCAAGGCCAGCAGGAGAGTCTTAATGTGCAGTCTGCTGAGACCCAGTCTCTATAATGCAACATATGCTCAGGTGTGACACCTCTTCCCCTTTGTCATATTCTACTGGTTAGCAAGTCACAGGTCCCGCCCAACACGCGCACACGCACGCACTCATGCGCGCAAAGAGAGGTGATGACGTCAAGGGACGTCTTGACTCACCGCAGCTCGCTTTTTAGTAAAAAGCAAATAAAAAGAGGTGGTTCAGGCCCCTTGAGGCACTGAACAGAGCAGATTCATCAGAAATACAACAAAACGGATGAATTGATGCAGTGTCTTGTATGTTCTATAACTTGCCCTCCTACTCATAGTTTGCGTTCTATGCTGTACACAAACCATACATCCATGTAAATTAAAATATGCTGTCGTGGGATCTTGTGGAACGAGACGTACCATGTTTGCGTCATAAACACACAATCCCTTAACATCAGTGACGCTGGGTTGACGTTGTGACACCTGATCCCTGAGAAGGAAGATGTCATTGAAGGTCATCTGAAGCCTCTGTCCCGGGAAATTCCAAATGTGATAGCACACTTCTGCAATGCCTCTTCCCCCTGAAACAACTGTGAGGTCTTCTGAACCAAATCCAGTTGATTAAAATGGGACTCATGTACCAACTGTGATTCCTGCTGTGGTGGGAGGGGTGAATTGAAACTGGAAAGGCAGGACAAGTAGAAGCCAGGTCATGCGAGCCCTTCGTGGGCAGACCTCAGCCCAGTGGTCCCACCGCTCGAGCCCCCCCCCCGTTCCATCTTAGTTCCTTTCAGCATTCTTCATCTCTGTGTCTTGTTTCTTTCTTTGTTGCGGTAACGTCTGCCTGTGACGTTGACCAAGACCGAATCCTGCAAGACTGATCCCCATTTCAGCATTTTGGAGGCTGATCATTCATTGAGGCAGCCCTAAGACGATCGTCTTCTTCCTCTCACTTATCATGTGACTTGCAACGAGCGCCTACAAGATCCCTGTCCCCACGAACCTACGGAGCTTTCCCTTTGTGAACATTTACACCCACGAGGACTCTCGAGTTTATTGTCCTCCAAGTGGAACAGCTAAACCGTTCGATAGGTTTGACCCCGTGTGTTGATTTGCAAGACACTCTGAGCTTTAAGGTATGGTTTGCCTCCCATTTTTGTAAGTCAGGTTGTGTAGGAACACGGCCACGCCGTTTGCTCGCATACTGTCGGAAGCAGGTTTGGGGCTATAGCAGGAGAGCTGAGTACCTGTGATGGATCCTGAGGTCTGGGAAGCTGAGACTGCTTACCACATGGCCCTTTCCAGAAGAAGTTTTCAAACTCCTGCCCTAAGAAAAACAGCAGTCCTAATCCTGTCACAAAACCTGTCTGACCCTTCAGAATGTTGTTACTTCCTGATCTGTGTGACCAGCACCTGTTTCTTGAACAAAGCTTTATTGTTCTTGGTATTTTAGTCATAAAATCAATTTTCCTCTATGGAAGAGGTTTTTGGAGGCATGTTCATAATCACATACCTAGAACTGGTTCGTGGCTGCCTCACACATTGATCTCTTTGACTTCTCATTTGATTATTTATACAGTTCTGCTTTTGCTCCTTTCAAACTGCTGTCAGAGTTAACGATGTTGTTCCTTAAATGGAAAAGTTAAACGTGTTAGAGCAGGAATCTTGCAGGATTCCTTCTATGGATCACATGGGAGAATTTTTCTCGTGTCAGTTTTTGGAGCATGTTGGGTCATGACAGATACATAGACAGGTCATGCTGTATTGTTTTAGTTTATTAATTAAACATTATCTCCATCTTATTATTTTTTTAAAGATTTAAAAATCATAGTAAACCATTTTTCTTCCTGATCATAAAATGCACATTTCTTCACGTTTAAATGTTCCTTTCTTACAACGGTAAGCATCTAAATTATCAAGGAAAATATTCTTTTTCTTTCTTAATGGTATAAAATCATTACGTCTATTACAATTGCTGTTGTCTTAGTTTTGATGAAACGTGATACACGGTAGTTTGACCTTCTTGCTGGAGGACACACCTCTCATCTTTAATAATGATACTTCTGATTTCACAATATCCCCACCCTAGCAGGAACTCACTGGGGGATGTCCACATTGGCAATGTGAAGTGTACGTTAGGGTCGTGGAGAAGCTGAGACCCCATCTGGGTCAGGGACCCACTAATGAGACAGGTGTCCAGGACTTACAGGAAAGCTGTTCTTGGGTTCTGACAGAGCCTGTTCTTGTCAGTGTGAACAAAGGAAGAGGAAGAAGATTTTTCACTCAACCGCAGATAGGATTACTGACTCATTTCTTTGTGTTTTTTTGCTTTTCAAAATGTTTTCCAAGCTTACTATATTGGATTTTCACAACAGTTCTTAGAAGTTAAGCCTGAATTTTACTCGGTGAACTTGATGGGCTACAAGACTGACTCACCAAGAGGAAATGGTTTTATCTGCCCAAGAGTCCATGTTTAATAGGTAGATGAAGAAGATCTGGAATCCAGGTGGTGGTCCATCTCTTTTCCACTGTACGCTGCCCCAGGCACCCCCTCCTAACTCTACTCTGTGTCCCTACAGAAGGGAGGATGAAGTTGTACTCCCCCACCCCCAGCAGGAAATAAATCAGAGCCTGTTTCTAATGTAATGGTTGTTGGCCAACCATCTGCGCTTCAGCACCCTTGAATAAGAAGGGAGTTTTGATTATGCAAAATCCTAGTTAATTAAGGGCACTTCAAGGAATTGAAGGAAGAACAAAGCTCCTTACCACTTTGGGTGCCCTGGGCCATGGAATGTTCCAGTGGTACTGAAAACACGTCAGAAACTGAAGCTGTTAGGATTTATCACACTCTTACAGGGGCTTTTCTTGC